AATCGGTTGTTTTGTTGGGCTTCCACAAAATTCTCTCAATTTCCGCGCTGCTTCCTCTATTTTTTATTTTTATTTATTTCCCATTCAATTCGCTTTTCGATTATCTAAGCGGACAAATCGATTGCTTCATCCCCTTTTCTAAATCATTTTATTACTATTTTTTAGTATTTTTAGTTAAAAAATGGTAAAAAAATTTTTCTCAGTTAAAAATTTTATTTTCTAATTTCATTAATTTTTTGAGACTCTGAAGACCTAACACAAAATAAATTTTTTCTTGGGGTTACTCTCAAGACTTGGTTGGGTCTCTCAAGATCAACAAGGAGGAGAAGTATATATTATCTTCTAGTTTAGTTTCCCATTTATTTTTTGCTTGATATATTCGAACAGGCAATTCGGACTAGGAGGGCCACAGATCTAAATGGGAAGGTTGTCTGAGAATCGAGGTCGATATCTCGAGAAATCTCAAGTCTTGATACCCGAGATTTTTATTCGGGATCCTTACTTGATTCGGTTTCTAATTCAAACCTCTTCTGTCTGTGGATTTTTTTCTTTTTTTTCAATTCAAGAGTTCTTCAAAAATTCAAGAGTCGTTCTATCTAATAACTTGACCTTAACCCACCCAAGAGACAATTAAAAAATCCCCTGCGAAAGAATATTAAAAAAAGATATTTTTACGACCCCCTCGATTCTCCAAAAACTCCCGAAATTATAATTACCTATTTAATATTTTTATTTTTCTTCACCCTTTCCTCATACCTTTTATTATTTTCATTTTGTCTTCAAGGTTATTCACTCAAAAAAAATTTTTTTACTTAATATTTAATATTTTATTTATTTATTTTTTACTATATAACGCCTGGCAATTACCCAAAATTTAATTAAAAAAAATTTATTTCGTTTTTTAATGAAAAATTTTTATTTCAAATTTTGTTCAGTGTGTGCGTGCCACTCTTATTTTCTGAAACCCCTACTCAACCAAATCTCTCCCTCTCTCTCGTCCTACTTTTATTATTTTTTTGGTGGTTTAAAAAATCTTATCAGTATATTCAATCATTTCCTTTACTATTTAAATATATTCTCGTCATTTGGAAAAAAAAACTCCCGAAAATTCCCCTCTTTTGTATTACTCAACTTTGGCATTTTTTTGCTCCTTTCCTTTTTTTCTCCTTATATTTTTGAATAAAATCAGAAAAACAAGAAATATACCGGACCTTAGTTTTGTACAACCCCCAGTGTACCAGGGGATTTAAAACCAGAATTTTCTATAATTCTGATTTTTGTGTTTCAGAAATATTTTCCTCAAAGAATTCTGGTTAGTTTAAAATTAATATACAAACCAATCAGAATTTTCCTTTTTCAAATAATTCTGATTTTGTATTTTTCAACAAAATTCTGATTTGTATTTTACCTTCTCTTAAATAAAAACACAATCAGAATTTGTGTTTTCTTTTTATTTAAAAATTCTGATTTTTTTTTCTTGTATTTTCTTCTTGTATTTTTTGTATTTTTCTCCAGCCTTTTTAAATTCTGATTTTTATTTTCTTGTATTTTCTTCTTGTATTTTCTTGTATTTCTCTCCAGCCTTTTTAAATTCTGAATTTAATTTCTCTTGTATTTTTATTCTGATTTATTTTCTTGTATTTTTCTCCAGCCTTTTTAAATTCTGATTTTTATTTTTTTGTATTTTCTTCTTGTATTTTCTTGTATTTCTCTCCAGCCTTTTTAAATTCTGATTTTTATTTTCTTGTATTTTTATTCTGATTTATTTTCTTTTTAAGAAAACCGGTGATTGGTCACTACAGATGTTTATTTAGTCTGATCATCATTTTATGCTTATTTTTATTTTTCTCCTCATATTTTTTTTTATTTTTTCTTTTAGTTTATGGCCACAGATGTTTAAAAAAGCTTTTAAACAAACAAGCCAAAAACATCCAAAATAAACTCAAATTTTTTTTATGATTTTTTCCTCTCATTTAAGGAAAGATATTGGTCAAGATAGGGGTGGACTGCCGCTTTGGAAAAAATAAAAAAAAAATATTTTTATTTATTATTTAACTGTGTGGGCAAAGCGAAAAAAAGATGAGTTATTGAGAAAACAAAAAGAAATTTGAAAAAAATTTTTTTTTGAAAAAAAGATAAAAACCAGACAGCCAACTAACTAATAGTATGTACAACTATAAAATGAAAAGAAATATTTTTGAAAAAAAAACACTGAAAAAGTATTCAAAAATTTGAATTCTTCGGATATCCAAAATCGAACCGAAGGACCGAACCGAAAATTTCGGACATCCGAAATCGAATCGAAAAATCCTCGGTTCTTCGGTTCGGGTTAGTTCGGTCCAGAACCGACAACCCCACTAGAGTATCAATAACGTTCTTGTACCACTTATGTCTCACGTCTTTCTAGTGACTCTATCTCATACTCTATTTTCCCCTAACTATTAGAGCCTCGGAAATCACGACATTTGAGTCTTGAAAGTCAACTACTTTTTGAATATTTGATTCCCATACCATTTGAGTCTCATTTCTAATTATTTAATTTAAAGGAGGGTTTAATCCCGAATCCTGAGGGAATGATTTTCTGGGTGCGTTGGAGGATGACTGACAAAATAACACTCACAATTTATTGTCAGTCTACTCCAACGCACCCAAAAAAACGTGCCCTCAGGAGTCGGGGTCAAACCCTAATTTAAAGGCCATTTAAAACTTTTAAGTATTTTTTGACACAAAATGGTGCCAAAAATAATAAAAAATCTTTTTTTTAAATTATTCTTCCCCCCTCTTTAAATCCCTCTCGAACATTTTTTTATGTCAGCTGTTAATCCAAGGCATCAATGACCGGGTCATTTTGTTTCCCAACCATCCCTCCCCACTTTTAAACTGAAGAAAAAATATAATTATTTGGCACTCTCCACTTTACGATGAGCTTTTTTCTCTTCTTCTCTTTACTCAAATAATTATTACTACATACACACATTTTGTGGCTTTCGCTTTGGCCCCGTGCCATTTGGAACCATTCTTCGGGAATGGGAAATATTTTTTTTTGCTTTTTGTTTTAAAAAGTTGGACAAGATAGAAGGGGTTTTCTATAAAATTTTCTATTCCTCTCTAATTTATGCTAAAATTTTTTTAAATTATTAGTCGAGCCTACCTTAATATACTGGCTTGAAGCTACAAAATCTTACCCTATATTAGGAGGATAATTAGATTGGTAGGGTAAATTAGACAACTCCCCCATCCAATGGCCAACTAAATTAAGAAAAACGTATTTAAATAGAGGTGTATCATATAATGAGGCCCAAGTGTATTCCGAATCTTTTCCAAGACTCGGAATGGTATGGAATTTATAGTGTGAATTTCGAAGTATATATTAGAGGCCGAGGGCAAATGTCCAGTTGGTGTCTACCTGTCCGCAAGTCTCTTTGCGGACTGGTGACAGCAACTGGACATTTGCCGAGGCCGAGCTGGAGGTTGGTTGGACTGGAGGTTTAGTTGGGCATTTGACACCTCGGTTCGAACTCCGATATATATCAGGGATCTAAAACCATATTTTCGAAATCAGGAATTTTATTTTTTAAGGCTGCTACATAGACCTCTGTTAGCAGGTATGGGTCTTTTTACCTGTAGCAGAGGTCTAGTTGGCCTTTTTCCAATACTCGGTCTTTTTCAGACCCGAAACCCGATCCAAGTAGAATTTTGAAAACCCGACCCGACAATTTCTCATCCGGCCCATCCATGCTTTGTTATGTACTATACATTTTTTAAATTTTCTTTTCACCTTTAAAAAATAGTAATAAATTAACAGTTACATTATTATTTATTTTTTAAATATTTTTTTTTGTTCATATTTTGGCCGATGCAAATTTTTTTATTTATTGTAGAGAACCAAACACTCTCGGGAGTAGAGAACCAAACACAAAAATAAAAATAAATTTGCATTCTTGACAGGCCACATTTTTGTTTTTGAATGTGTAATAAATCCTTCAAACAAATATTTAAAAGGGGACGCTTGGAGAAGGGGAAAATAATAAAATAAAGTAAAAAATTTATTAAAATTATGTCTGTATTTTTCATGATTTTTTTATTTAAATATTTTTTGTTGATTTTTTAATTTGGCTTTTTATTATTTTTATAGAGAATTCCATGATTATCTATGTTCAGTGTTAGCCAGAGGTGGGTCGGAACAGCCAGAGGTGTCGGAAATAGGAAGAGCCGGAAATCGGGACTGCTCAAAAGTCGGAAATCGGAAATCGGAAATCAAAATTATTTTCGGAAATTGGAAATCGGAAGGAAAAAATGCTGGAATTCGGAAATCGGAATTCCGACCCACCTATGGTGATAGCCTAGAAATCTTCCCATTTTTTCTCTATTATTATTTAATTTTCTTTTGTTAATTTTTAATTTCACAGTTATCACACCTAATAGAGGAGTACATTACTCTCTTTAACCTTCCCTTTCTTCACAACCCTCTCCATTAATAAGGCTTCTAGCATTTTAGAAAAGTAAAGGAATTGAGGAGGTTCTTTAAGGCACCCAAAGGGTTAAATTAAAAATAAATGTCCTTCCTATTAGAGAGAAATTACTGTAATTCTTGATAATCACTTGAAAAGGGTGACTCCCTGAAGGGCTAATCAGCTTAGTTTAATTTTTTAGTAAATTTTATTACAAAATTTTTAAACCAAAAAAGTCTGATGGATACTAGAGTCTGATACTTATAAAGTAACTTTTACCCTTCCTTGTCCACCAAAAAAAATAATGGCCACAAAAAAATTGTTTTTTTTGTCCACTACCTTTTTTCCACACTATTTCTCTTTCTTTTTTTCTTTTCCTCGCTTCCCTCCCTCCCTCCCAATTTTAACCACGCCCCTTTTTTGCAGTCGGCCGCTGCCCATTCTTTCTCCCTTTATATTTCCCTTTCCTTTTTACAGATTTCATTCATTTTTCTTTTTTTTTTGTTTTTTCCAGCTTTTAGCAGCCGCCATTTTTTATCCCTATTTTTTACAAAATACCTTCCAGCCTTTTGTATTTTTATAAAAAAAAAGTAAAAACGATAAACTAGTCTTCTCCTTCCAGTCATTTCTTCGTCTCTTTTCTTCATTTTTCTTCATTTTGTAATGGCCTATTAACTTTTTAGCTTTTTTATTTTTCCTTTTCACCTTCACTTTCATTCTTCTTTTCTTCCCTTTTTTTGTTAAATTGTTATTCGTTTCATTAGCCAAGGAGGGGGGAGTGAATGAAAAAAACTGGCAATTTTTTTTATTTTTCAGAGAGATAATTATTGTCTTAATATTTTTCTTCAGTATCTTTTCAGCTCTTTTCTAAATTTTATGTTAAGGCTAATTGCCTCCATTTTGTCTCCATTACCTTATTTTCTTTTAAGTAACTCATAGGTAATTCAGGTTGCTTGTCTTCATTATTTATTGTCTGCATTATGTCAAATATCCCGTCACTATTGTTAATTATTAACAAACTGTTATTCTTTTAATAATTTCCTTTCTGGAAAGTTTTAAATAAAATTCAGTTTCGTCAGAATTCAGCTTGAAATGAAAGAAAATTTTTGATCCTTAGGTTCAGTCTGCAAAAATTTTGCGGACATTTTTTCTGTCCGCGACTAAAAAATTATACCGACCTTTTCCTTTTTTTATTTTTAAGGTCAAGAATTAACTTTTCTTAATTTTTTAACCTCTAATTTAACCCTTGTTTAAATATTAAAAGAAAACCATCAAAAGAAAAAAAATAAACAAAAACCCACATACTAATCCATTGTTTTTTCTGTCCTCTTTAAATAAAGGGGGGGGGACGGCGCCTTTCCATCAAAAAATAAAATTCGGCACAATTCTTCTAATGTTTCTTTGTTCTATTTTCTTCATTTTTCTGCCATTCTTCTCCATTATAAATTATTTAGAGAGACATTTTGTCCCTTTCATATTGACCTGTCGGATCGGTCAAAAAATTCCCCTTCCTTCAACCTTTTGTTATATCCCTCCCCCCTATATCCCCCCATTTGACCGCTTGCCGTCTGTTAAGACGCGACCACTTTCTCCCTTATTCATTTACTTCCTCTCTCAAAAACTATTCGTGCCGCTCCCCTTCCGTTGCTCTTGTAATTTTACTTTTTTTTTTGGCATTCAAAAAATAGGCACGCCAAAGCTAAATTTTTTGACCTTTTAGGGAGTGTAATGCCACTCCCCCCTTTATTTGGTGGTCAATTTAAATATTCTCTTTTTTCATTCTCGTTTAGTTATGTACAAGAGGGAGATGCGCAATTCCTCCTTCTATTTTTATTTTTTTCGCTTCGCTAAACTTTAAAAGGAATATTTTTAAAATTAATTTACATAATATATATAATTTTATTTTTAAGAGAGACTCTTTTATTTATTAAAATAGAGTTTTCCGGAAAATAGAAACTATCATTTTCCGGAAATTTTTTATATTGGTAAAGCTTTTTGAATATCAGAAATAAATACAAACGTTCCGGAATGTATATTCTTTTCCGGTTAGTTTAATAAATTCTTTTCCGGAACAGATTGTTATACTTATTATTTCTCCGGAAAAATATCAGCAAAGTTTCCGGCTAGTATTTTCCGGAAAATTTTATATGGAGATTAAATACTAATAAATATAAACTTTCCGGAATATATATTCTTTCCGGTTAATATATTACTTTTCTCCAATGTGTTACTTTCCGGAAACTTAATAAATTCTTTTCCGGAAAAATAGGTATAATAATAAAATATATTCGTTCTATGCGCATGCAATACTCTCCTTGTATTTTTTCATAGAAATTTATTAAAAAAGACCGTTCTTGTTTTTAATTTTATAATTGTTCCATAATTATTATTTTATTATGTACGATAAAAAATTTTTTTCTTAATTTTTCATTTTAATTTTTAAATATTTTTAGAGTTAACGAATTAAAAAAATATTTTCTTCTCCAATTAAAATGCAATTAAAAATCCTCTCCCCTTCTATATATCACCAATTAGTCCCAAATTCAACTAGACCAATTTGGCATCAATGGCATATTAATAATGAAGACAAAAATAATAAAGAAAATTTGGAAGAAAATAATGAGAATTTTAATATTAATAAACGTTCTTCGACTGCTAGAAGACGTTTATTTTTTGAAGAAGGAGGAGGGGGAGGGGAAGAAAATAAAGAAATAAATAAAGTAAATTTAAATTTTAATTAAAAAATTAAATAAAATTTCCCTCAAAATTTTCAGCAATTTGTCCAAAATTGGTTAAATGAATTGTCTGAACATTATAAACAAAAATGGGGATTTGATTTTGAGGAATGTAAACCTTTGGAAAAAAGTCGTTTTGAATTTGAACGGGTACCTGCCGATCAAGTACCTGGATTTTATAGAACAACAAAAACATTAAAATATAAAAATAAAGAAAAGGAGAACAAAGCAGAATTAAATAATAATTGTTGTTCTCAAAATAATTCTGGTGAATTAACAACAACTTGTTTAGGTAAATAAAGGAATAATTCTGATTATTATTAATTGTATTACAATATAAACTTTTCCGGAAAAATATTTATAGTTATATTTTCCGGAAAATTAATACTATAAATTGTTCCGGAATTTATAAGTTTTATATAATCTTCCTTAGAATCTTTCCGGAATATTTCTGAAAATGTTTTATATTTTCCGGAAACTGTCTAACTTTTATTATCATTTCATTCTTTCCGAAAGGCTAATATAAACTTTTCCGGAAAGTTTTAATACTACATACATAAAATTACTCTAACTTTTCCGGAAAACTTTAAAATATATTTTCTCTTTTCCGGAAAATATATTTATATTTTTATAGCCAACTCACCAATTCGTTCATCTCTCCGGAAACCTCCATTTCATCTCAATTCTGTCCGAACACCTACTAGACGCCGACTTTCTCTTAATATTTCCAATAACAACAATTCTTGTTCTTCTAGTGAAAAACAAACAAAAATAACTGGTAAATATTTTAATTAATTTTTAAAATCATCCAAAATTTTTTCAGATTTTGTGAGTGTTCGAAAATCTTTTTCTCCTCCAGATTCCCTTAAATTTGGAAAAATGGGAGAAGAAAATGACAAACAAAATGGAAAATTATTGGAATCTCCCAAAAAACGACGTTTAAATTCAAAAACAGAAAAAGGCAAAAAATTTGTCAAAATTGCTCTGAATGAGGGTATTGCGACTCGTCGAAGCTTGCGACTTCGACACTTATATGCTCAAAATACTACAATATAAAAATTGAAAAGTAGCAATAAAATTAAATAAATTGAATGAAACTAGTTTTAAATTTATTATTTTTTGGCACTTTTAGAAAATTTTTTTAAAATTTTTTTTGACTTTTTAGACACTAAAATTACCCTAAAAGTAGCCATTATTCTTCCTTTTTTCCATTCTGTGCAAATTTAAATAAAATTAAATTACCGTATTTTTTGTATTAGAGCCCCATGGGGCTCTATTTTTCAACTATCCTCCAAAGTGGGGCTTTATTACAGCGTGGGGCTCTAATAGAGCGTGGGGCTCTATTTTTCAACATATTTTTGAAAATAGGTGATAGGATTTCAATTATAAGGTTAACTATATTTATCAAATCAAATAAGATTTAATCACAAAAATAAATTTCAGCATTAGGATAATTACAAAGTGGATAGTTGCGCGAGCACAGTAATTCGCGGTTAAGTCATTTGATTTGGATTTAAAGCCAATTTGAATTTTAATTTGTGGACGGATCGAATCCTATCGAGCATTTGAATGTTCGATTCTATTTTGCTTCAGTCCGCATGGTTCATTCCTTCGTGTGTATATCTCGTTTAGTCCCAATTGATGGATATAGATGTGAGCAAAAAGTTATTTGGGGATTAATTTTGATATCGGGAAACTTGGGGAGTATCAATGATTTGGGGATTAATCGGATATCGGAGGATTTCTGAGATGAATCTGCTGATAACTAGGCTAATTTCGCCAATATCTATGCTTACCGAAGAATCTCCTAATATCTCTTATAACGTCCAAATCCCTTCATTGGAGAGAATCATATATATGGAAGAATATAAATATCAATGGATTAAGAGTGATTTTGGGAATATCAGTTTACGGATTGTATTTAAATTTATTGTTCATACAAAGGGATTTTCGAGGAGATATCATGAGATTAGGCGGAATATCTGGTAATTTGTATGGATTAAGTCTGGTTCAATGGATATCGGCAGATTAAGGTGGTATTAATCCATAAATAACCTCTTAATCGCATATACATAATCTCTAACATTGGCACAGAACATTAAATAAAAGAAAAAAACAATTTAGTATTAAAAATTAACAATTTATTATACAATAGGTAAATTTTAAAAAGTGGGGCTCTATTTCAGCGTGGGGCTCTAATACAACGTGGGGCTCTATTTTTCAACTATCTTTGAAAGTGGGGCTTTATTACAGCGTGGGGCTCTAATACAGCGTGGGGCTCTAATACAAAAAATACGGTATCACATTTTTATTAGTATTTTACCCTGAATATTCCTTTTATAATTTTCCTTTACTTGTGCTCTTTTTTTAGTTTTAGTAAAATTGTTTTTAAATAAATTTCTTTTGTTTATTTGGGTGTTGAATAGACTTTAGTGTACTGGTATAATATTGTTTTCCGGAAGACAATAAACTTCCGGAAATTATAGTAAATAAATATAAATTTTCCGGAAAGCTGAATATAAACCTTTTCGGAAAATTTAATGTCTATAATATTTTCCGGAAAGTTTAATGAATAGAACATTTTCCGGAAGAATTATTAAATACAAAATTTTCCGGAAGGCGGAATATAAACCTTTCCGGAAAATTTAATAAATATAACATTTTCCGGAAAGTTCTATTGCTCTTCAGGAAGACAATACAAACATATCCGGAAAATTTATTATACTTGGAAATACAATGTGTTTTTCCGGAAAACTAGAAAGTCGTCAGTATTTTCCGGAATTCTATTTTCTAATAAGTTTTAATATAAAGTTTATTAAGCAAAAAGAGAGTTAGTATAAACTTTTCCGGAAAATTATCTTATTATTTAAACTTAATTTTCCGGTAACTACATGAGTGAAAATTTTTAAAATTTTCAGGCATTATTAGAGTCTTATATTTCAACGTTTTGTAATAAAATAATATTTTTGACATATTTATTTAAAAAATATTTTTTTTCACTAAAAATATTTACGGCACATTTATGGCTAAATGCCACCTTTTTACAACCCTTCAATCCTCCCCATTTTTTAATTTCCCATTTATTCATGTTTTTGTTTTGTTGTTGTCCAACATTCAAAAACGAGAGTTTGTCAAGGTCAGCATCTTCTTTTTTGGGCATTCTTTACTTTTTAAGTAATGACCTTGACAACGAAAATTTAAAAAGAAAAAATCAAGAAAAAAAGAATGTGACAAGGGCTATTTATCTTTTCTTCCTTTTTTGTTCATCCATCGGCTGGGAATAAAAAAATAAAAATATAAATTACTAGTTAAATTACATGTTATATACTGTCCTTTTTTGGTTTCCTCTTCCTTTGCCTTTTTTGAATTTAAAAATTAATCAACTCGCAGCTTGCGGAGGAAACGCCAACTAAAAAATACTACCCCCACTACAGGACACACCGTTTTAGGGATGAAAAAATTTTACGTTATAATGGGGTGTTTATTAAATTGGGGTGTTTTTAGGCAACTCCCTCAATCCAGAGGTTAATTAGGACTTATAATAAAATATGAGTCCTAAATAATTAATAAAATACAGATCTTAAAAAATACAACTTTAAATAATGTTCCTCCATTTATCTTCTTCGTACATCCCTAATTTCGAGGGTATCTTATATTACTCCAGAAAACATGTAAACTCCAGACTAGGACATGGATACGGATATGGATACAGATATTATAAAAATGCCTGTGGGTATCCGTCTGTATCCGCCGTAAATATACGGATACGGATACCAAAATCGTGTTCTAGTCTGGTAAACTCTATCCTCTTCTTCATTTTTAAATTAGTCTTATAGGGAGATTTGACTTGATTTTTTAATTTGAAAAATAGTCAGCCTCCCACAACCCAGGACTGAAAGCAGTCTAACCGAAGGTAGCTCCCCAAACCATTTAAAAAACTGTTATCATAAATTGAGAGTAGGTGTGTCGTTCGGTTTTGGTTAAC